TTTACAGATTTATCCCTGTCATTTTGTTAGCCATTTTCTCAGTTTGTTGTTGTTGTTCTCCTATTTCTGTTTGTCTATCTTTAGTTATTCTGATACAACACTCCCTTCAGTACTTCTTGTAGAACTGGTCTAGTATTGGTGAATTCTTCAGTTTTTGTTTAGCTGAGAATACTTTTATTTGTTCTTCCCATTGGAAGGATAGTCTTGCTGGATATAGTATTCTTGATTCAAATTTTTTTTTAATGTTTTGAATATATTTACCATTCTTTTCTTGCCTACATTTTTTGAGAGCTCTTATGTTAGTCTAATAGGATAACCTTTGTAAGTAACTTGACGTTTCTCCCTTGCCATTTTTAGAATATTGTCTTTGTCTTTAATTTATCAGTCTGACAATGATATGCTATAGGGAGGATCTTTTTGTGTTTATTCTATTTGGGGTTCTTTTTATTTCTCAGGCCTGGATTTCTCTATATTTGAAAATTTTTCAGGTAGTATTTTATGAAAGAGGTTTTCCATGCCTTTAGCAAAGTCTTTACCTTCTGGAATACCCATTATATGGATATTTGGGTGTTTCATGGTATCTAGAATTTCCTGTATTTTGTCCCCCCGCCCCTTTATTTATTTATTTATTTATTTATTGGTTGTTTTTTTCATTCTTTTTGGTGATTTTTTTTTTTTCAATGTTGGAGACTTTATCTTCAAGGTCAGAAATTCTTTTTTCTGTATGGTCCAATCTGCTTTTTAATTCTTTCTAGGAAGATTTTAATTTCTTGAATTCTTCATTTCCAGAAGCTTAATTCTTTTTAGGGTGTCTGTTTCTTTATGTAATTACTCTTTCATGTCCTGGAATGATTTTCTTATTTCCTGGAACTGATTGTTTTCTATTGCATCTCTTTGAGTTTTGTCACTATGAATATTTGGAATTCTTTTTCTGACATTTTCGTGTATTTCTCTGTGCTGCCCATTGTTGGAGAGGGACTACTATGCTCACCTGGGGAAGAGTTACCCCCTTGTTTTCTCATGTGTCTTCAAGGTCTGTGCTGGTTTTTGGTTATCTAATGAAGTATTTACTTTTTTCTATGTATTGAAGTAGATTCTGTAGTAGTGGTAGAGGAATTTCAGCCCTCGTTCACAAGCATGTTCCTGTTGGAGGGCTGTATCTCCCAGCCCAGAGCAGTTGTGGGTAGCTTCGGGTAGTGAAGAGGACACAGTGCATGGGCTTGTGCACCAAAAGTTCCAAAGATACTCCCAGGTCCCAAGTGGACTTGGGAGAGGAGGCCCGCCCAGACCAGGCTGCAACTTTTTTTTTTTTTTTTTAAACACATGTAACCATAATACCATGTGTTGTAGAGAAGCTTTTTGAAGAAAATACATGAACATAGAAAAAACAGAGTATATAATCAGTCACCTTAGGAATTTTGAGCTATTTAGGTTTCTCATTTTTTTTTTATTTTTAGAATTATTTTATTTAATTTATTATCATTATTGTTTTAAATTTGCTATAGGGAACACATTTGCAGAGAGAGGGAAAGAAAAGCAAGCTGCTAAATAGGGCACACATGCTCAGAGAGAGAGAAGGGAAGAGAGCAAGCTGCCAAATCTGGGACTTGAACTGCCATCAGCCATATGGGAGTACAGTGCCTTAACCACCAGGCCACCTCCTGTCCCCAAGGTTTCCCTTTTTCAATGTCCTGTTTAACACAAGCATTCCAGATAGCTGATTCTACAGTAATAATAGAATAGCCAAGTATGGTAATGTTTTCACATAATTGTTCTCTTCTTTCCCTGCCCTCATCTAGCTCCTATTTAGGCATTTTGAATCTAGTATGATAATCCTTTTGCCTGAAGAATTTCCCTTACATTTCTTATGATGCTGATAATGAATCTGTCATAATTTTGTCTTGAAAAGTTTTCATTTCACCTTTTTGGAAAGATATTTTTGCTACACATAGAATTCTTGGTTGACTTTTTCTTCCAGTAGTTTAAAGATTTTTCACTTGAGTGTTTCTGGCTTTTATGGTTTCAGAAAGAAGTCTGCTTTAATTCTTACCTTTATTTTATTTTATGTTTATAATTTGCTATGGGTCATATGTGCTTAGTGGAGAGAAAGTGAAAAAGCCATCTCTTATGGATGATAACCACACTACAACCCCTTTTTCATTCTCCTCTTGAGATTTTGGGCATGTACACACACGTGTCCAGTATGTTTTTCAAACTGCCCAGCCTGGGACTCGAATCACACAGTCAGTCACGTGGGATCCAGCCACCATAACCACCACACCACTTGACTAGCTCTAATTCTTACCTTTTTTCGTCTGTGTGTTACATGACCCTTGTTGTGTGAACTGACTTTCTTTCAGTCTGCTTTCAAAGTTTTTAGTTTTCATCTTTATGAATATGATCTCCCATTTGTGTCTTTGTGTGGACATATATTTCCATTTCTCTTAGCTATACACTTAGAGAATTTCTGGTTCATGTGGTAACTGCATGGTTAACATGTAGGAAACACCATGCGGTTTTCCAAAGCAGCTGCAATATTTCACAATCCTATCAGCAGTACACGACTGTTCCATTTTCTCTACATCCTTGTCAACACATGTTGTCATCTACCTGTTTGATTTTAGCTCTCTTACTGGATGTAATGCCATATCTCATTGTGCTTTTGAATAACTGAAATTTGAACTATCTTTTTTTTTTTGGAGAGGTTTTTGCTATAGGGCACATGCACTTGCCAGACAGAGAGAGACAGAGAGATAGAAAATGAGAAATCACCCCCAAGGGGGGATGGCCACACCATAATCCCTTCTCCTCCATTCTCTTCTTGGGATCTTGGGCACCTGACGTGAGTTTTAAGCCACTGGGTCTGGGACCTGAACTGCGGTCAACTACATGGGAGTCCAGTGACATAGCCATTACACTAACTGCTGGTCCCTGGAATTTGAACTATCTTGTTGGGGATAATTTATTTAAACTGATTTAAACTGAAATTCACATGCTATCAGGTCCACTGAAAATATACTATATACATTTTTTTGTGTGTGTGTGTATACACACTCTTTTTTCTTTTAAGGTTTTTGCAATAGGGTGTATGTTCTCACCGGAAGAAACAGAGAGAGTGAAGGGAAAGTGAGAAATCATCCCTCAGGGAGATGGCCATGCTACATTCGCTTCTCCTCCATTCTCGTGTGATTTGGGGCATGTGTGTACATATACCTGGCATAATTTTCACACCACCAGGTCCAGAATCCAGAATTCAAACCATGAAGTCAGCTATGTGGCAGTCCAGTGCCTTCACCACCACGTCACGTGCTCGCCCCATATATTTTATTTTATACTTACCCACGTGCTCATTAGCTCTTTCCTCTCTGTATATCTGAGAAAAGATCTTCCTCTTCTAGGTCTTTGTTTACTACTTTTTTGTAACAGCAAGTGAGTGTTCTTGGGAGCACTTGCGTATGTTCACTTCTGAAAACTTTTAACATGAGAAAGTTAATATCCCACATCCAAAATTAATGTATAATTGATGTGGCAAGACTAAGACTTCATACACAGAGAAAAATGTTTTTATACATCTATGGAAATGGGGCAAAGTTTTGCAAGCCATAGGATCATTTAAATATGAATAACCATATGATAGAGTGTATTATGAACTATTCATACTGTAGTCACTATAAATTTTGCTCACCTTTGATAAATCCTAAAGGTCAGATTAGCATAGATCATATCCCTCTTTAATGCAGTCAATTTAAGTTTTTTTAAGTCAAATTTATCCATCTTAATTTTTTTTAATTGATACATGATAATCGTAACCTTTATAGGGCACAATAATAGCCTCTCTTTTGGCTATTTTGAAATATATGGTACAAGGTTGTTAACCATAACCCCCCTACCGTGCAGTAAAACACCAAGATTTACTTTGTACCCACCGACCAATCTGTTTCTGTTGCTCTCTTTCCTGGACTCTCTTTAGCCTCTGGTAACTGCCGTTCTACTCTCTGTTTCTAGGACATCAGCTTCTGCAGGTTCCACATATAGTAAGTGAGGGCACGCAGTATTTCTTTATCTGTGCCAGCCTTCTATTACATCACGTAACGTCCTCCAGGCTTGTCTCGTTGCCTTGAATGACAGTATTTCATTCCTTTTAATGCTCAGATAGTATTTCATTGCCCCATCTTTAAAATGTATTTATCTGTGGACTTTTAGGTTGACTCTGTATCTTGGCTGTTGCCAGTAGTACTGCCATAAACATGGGGTTTTACTAAGCTTTGAGCGGTCCTTAGCCTCACAGAGGGAACTGCTTTTAGTAGTTACTGTTCATCTCTAAGCAAGGTGTTGAGCACCAGTCATCTCGGCCTGTAGTGTTGATCTTTTTCTTAACACAGGCTTCCCCCCTCGATGTTCCTTAATAGTGTAATTCCAAACAATTTGCCTCGACTCACTGTCACATCTGGTTAGTCTCCCAGGTCTCTTTCTTTTGTCTTCACCATGGGCTGTGCTGTAAGTAGCATCCTCTGGAATCGTGCATTGATAGAACTTTCATGTTGTAACTTTGACATATAGACTGTTCCTTCAGTCTGGCCCTTCAAAGTTGTCACATATTGAAGCTAAATTAAGCCAGCCAAATGTATTTATACATCTATATGTCTTTTGTTTTTATCCATATTATCTTTCCTAAACAAAGGGTATGTTGTATAACTTTCTGCCTCTCTGGAGTACCCTTCAGTAGTAGACATACAGGCAGTGGTAAGAATGATACATGAGTTGAATGCTTGATTCTGTAAATTCCACCTTCTATAATGTGTTTATTTATCTCACTTTAAGTTCTCACAAAAGTACATGATGTAGGATTTTTGTGGTTTTCTTAATCTTTTTTTATTTTGAGAATTTACTTAATTTAATTTTACTTATTACTGTTATTTTTTAATTTGACCAGAGGGAAACAGAGAGATACATTGGTCTTTTAATAACATTGTCAACCTATTTTTCTTCTTTTATTTCAGAGCTCTTCCAGTGTTAGTAGATTCAGATGAGGTAAAATATATTTCTGCTTACTTTTTGGAGCTGATGTTGATACAATATGGGAATGTATTTCAGAAAGAAATTCTGAAAGTTATTTTCTTGAAATGGTTATAAATTGAGCAGATGGAAAGACACTACAAATTGACATGTGGGTAAATGTAAAGGGATTTGTGATGAAGTATTTCAAACAGGAACAAGATAAATGCTTGATTTTAATGTGATAGAAATGAAGGCTTATTTGATGAGATTTTGATTTTCTGATTTTCTGAGATCTATAACTATATAGATAGTTGAGAAGATGTTAAGATAGCAGCTTGTCTAAATTAGTCTCTGATGTTTGTAGATGCTTTGCTAAGGTGCCAAATAAAGTTTCTTTCCCACTTCTATTTACTAAGCTGGAAATTTGAATAGAGGATGTATATTTAGGAAAGTTTTTAGGAAAAAAAACATTAGTTATGGATCATCCGAACCTTGAAGAGAGGTCCACGACAGGAGGACGTCTGGAGCGTAGGAAGTAAAGGACAGGCGCATGACACCTAAGCTCACACAGAGTCAGAACAGTGGGGCGTCAGTGACGCTGAGTAGTCATTTCTGTGGTGGCTATGGAATATGAGAGCCGCGGGAGCTCTGTTGAAAGATAAGGGAAATCCTTTTGGCACAGCATGCTGATGTGACTCCAATGGGATAGAAAGCTTTGAGAAGGCCTTGCGGCAAAGCAAGACATAGAACTCTACAGAAACATGTACCACAGAATTACTTTTATTTTTTTTTATTTTTTTGCCATAGGGTGCATGCGCTCACTGGAAAGAGACAGAAGACAGAGAGAGGGAAAGTGAGAAATGATTCCCCCAGGATGGTTATTATGCAATCCCTTTTCCTCTTAGGATTTTGGGCACACACGTCTGGCATGACTTTAAAGCCACCCTATCCAGGACTCCCAACTAGTCAGCCTTGTGGGAATCCAGTGCCTTAACTACCACATCACCCATTAGTCCCTAGAATTACTTTTCAAAGCACATCTAAAGAATTCATTTGAGGGCCAGCAAGTGGTACAGAAGTTAAGGCACTGGATCCCACATGGTCAACTGAATGGTTCAAGTTCCAGACCCAGTGGCTTGAAAAACGTGGTGGGCATGTACATGCCCAAAATCATGAGAGGAGGATGAAGGAGAGGCGATTGCAGTGTGGCCACCCCTCTTGGGGTGTAGGAGGGATGATTTGTCATTCTCTCTCTGTCTCTGTCTCTCTAGCAAGTACACATACCCTATAGCAAAACATAAAAAATAAGTTCATTTGAAAAATAATTCACTTACAATTTCAAAATTACAGATTAAGCATCCCTTGTCTGAAATGCTTGGAACCAGACGTGTTTTGGATTTTTGATTATTTAGATTTTGGTGTATTTGCCAATACATAATGAAATATCTTGGGGAAGGGACCCAAATTTAAACCCAGAATTTATTTCTGTTTCATGTATGCCTCATACATATAACTGAAGGTGATTTTATTCAGTTTTCGTATTGCAGCATTTTACTGAGACTGTCACATGAGGTCAGGTGTGGAATTTTCCACTTACGGCATTGTGTGAATGCTCAGTAAGTTTCAGATTTGGGAGCAGAGTAGATTTTGGATGCACAGCCTGTAATTCAGGAAAGTCAATCCCTGGATGAGCTGTACATCAAATCCACGTAACTGCCATTCCTGTCTCTCTCTAGCCAGCAACAAGTTAGAGTTTTCCGAGCTTCTCAGCAGATAATTACACATTGTTGGAGAGTGTAGATTACTTGGCTTTTATTTTGTGTATCTGTATTTTATATATATATCATGAAGTATATTCAGTTCCTCAAAATCGTGGCTTTTGAAAAGGTTAAATTGAGACTGTTGAAAAATTAGAAAATTTTGTTAGAATTCTAGAAGCAGCATCAACATTTTGACATGTTTCTTCTTTCTTTTCTTTAGGAAATCATGACCAGATCTGAAATAGCTGAAAAAATGTTCTCTTCGGAAAAGATTATGTGATTGAAACTCGATGAAAGAAACCTAGTTAATGGTGAGGCACTGTTTTGATTCAGCACAGGCAATTTCTACTGTGTTACCTTGGAGATCCGTGTATTAAAATGAAGGATTCAGGTGGTGGGAGGGTTTTGCAACACTTTTAAAGTGGACTCTTTATGTTGGTTTAATGTTTGTTAAATTGCCTGGCTTTGGAAGTAATCTGAGGAAAGTATTATAATAAGAATATGTGCACAAATGCCTCTTAGCTGATAGGCATATAATCTGGATTCTCTCTTTTCTCTTGAAAATATGATAATTCCAGATTTAAAAAAAAAAAAGCACTCCTATTTATTCCGCTGAGATAGATAATGTGATTCTTCTGAAGCATAGTATATCAGTGTCTCCATCTTGTGAGTTTATAGCTACTAGATGCAATTATTATTATCATTAATTTTCTTTGACTTTTATACTGAAGTGATTTGATGTTAGAACACAGGCATGTTTATATGTTTAAGTTTACCTTAAAAACAAAGACCTGTTTTTAAGTATCGCCGAGCACATCAGATCATGGAGGTGGGTCTTCTCTGAGCTCAGGGGTACACAAGTGCACAGAAAGAGAAGGCAAAAGGGTCACCTGCAAAGGTTCATTCCACCACTGTCCCCTCACTCGGGCCGTGCGTACATGTGCTGCTGCTGAGTCTGCTGGGGCCAGGTGGGGGATGCCTGGCCTCATGGCTCCCCCTGAGCACTTCCCACTGGCAGGCTGGGAGACTCATTACCAGTGAACTTTGTAGAAACAATAACTGTACCTTTAAAGATTCTTGGCATATTCTGTGTCATAATAAAACACATATTTAATTGTACAACACATCACTGTTAATCTTGTAATTAATTTCTTACCCTTCAGCCACGTTTAATACCTTACTTTGTTAGATTATGTATTTATAATATATAATTTAAAGTCTTTTTATACCCCATGTAAAAATATAGAACATTCTCAATTTGAAAGGCAATCGAATGTAGTATGATGAAAATGTGAATATTCTGCTGCTTTCATGACCAAAGATACAGGACTAGCGGACTTTTAAATTTGTGATTAAAATTAGAATCTTAAATGTCTTTTCATTGAAGGATTTCTAACCTTGTAAACTGAGAATGACTTCAGGGAATTTTGATTGAGAATACATTAAAATCTTAACCAGTACAAACACTTATATATAATCCCTAATATTTTTTTTACTGTAAAGCCACAAAACAGACTTTTTTTCTCTTTCTTTCAAAGCCTGCCTTCTGAATTTATTTGTTTACTCATTTCAGAGAGGTTAGTAAAGAAGCTTTACTTCTGGTAGTAATGTCTCTTGAAAGTATTTGTAAATGCATTTTCAATAGTCAACATTTGGAAAGTGCAGTGTTGGCAAACACGACCAAGAAAGGCATGGTTTTCAAGATGACATTGCTTTGGGACATCCCTCTATGAAAAGAACATCTGGTTTAACAGTTGTGGGCTCCATGCCTTATTTCAGTTCCTTCTGCAGTCATGGGCTTCCGCCCACTGTGTTTCCCAGCATTTGTGTCCCGTCAGGTTTTGGTGTAGTCTGCGGTTGTTTCAGAGCTGCAGGTCACCACTGCCTTCTTGTCCTTAGCATTTTGACCTAATGCCCCACTCTATATTTAGAGGCAGATTGACCCTCAGTGCATCATAGCTCTAGTTGAATTTTGAAATGCAGAATCCCAGGCTTGCAGCTAGGAGGAGCTGCAGACCTAATGAGTAGGAGTGGTCAGTGGAACGATGGTGGGAAGTGCCTCTGACCTAACCTCGGTAGTGTTCATAAAAGCACTTCTTGCCACAGCAGGCGGGTAAGTGATGCTGCCCATGCAGCTCCACTGTGGGCTGAACTGCAGACTCCTCTCCACCTGCAGAAAGCAGGGTTCCCTCCTAGTAACCTCAGGACTTGTGCTGTGTCTGTCACTTTCAGTGATAATTATGTCATTTGTTGATGTATGAGGACCCAAACTGAGTATCCCTATGGAGGGCCTTCTTAGCTCATCATAGACCCAGGAGGGGATGCCCTGGCATCATAGTTGTTCATATGAAGGATACCAGGAGAAGTTAACCCCCAGGGCCACTGCACAGCTCACCATCCCTGCGCCTGCACGAAATTTCCAGAGGCTGGTCATCAGGGACTTTGAGGTGCTCAGGCCAGTTTACTTTTAGGGTGCCATCAGGATGGATCTGCCTATTACTGAAGGCATCTAAGGACAAGGTGCCAGTATTATGTTGCTTTTAGGGATAATGCTTTATTGTTCTTGTTAAAAATTGATGTTAGGTTTATATGATGTGGAAATTTATTTAAAAGGGAATTTTTATGGTTTGAATTAGGTAAGTAGTTAAATATCTGCTTTAAAGAATAATTCGTTTATTTTTAAAACAAGGAAAAATAGAGGACTGTGTGAGTTTTTTAAGCCAGAGAGATGATAGAAACTTCTCATACTTTTCCTATACAAATAATTTTTAAAAATCTTTCCTGTCCTGTTGAAAATGCCAATCTTTTCCCTGGATAGGTTGAGCATCTCAAATCTGAAAATCCAAAATCTGAACTGTTTCAAAATCTGAAACTTTTTGAATGCTGATTTGATCCTACAGGTGGAAAATTCTACACCCGATGTTATGTGGTGAAGGGTTCCTCTTAAAGCACTGCAATGCAAAATTACTGTACACAATTAGCCTTCAAGCTATGTGTGTGAGGTATATATGAAACAAATGAATTCATCTTTACACTTGGATCTCAACCCAAGATATCTCATTGTGTATACATGAATACTCCAAAATCGGAAAAAATCGAAAACACTTCTGGATTTCAGATAAAAGATACTCAGCCTATATTACAGTACATTATATTTGCACTGCTATACTGTCATGACTAAAAGTATAAAAAATGTACATATAAAGATAAGTTTTGTATCTTTTTTAAAAGACATTCGAACCTATTGCACTACTAGGCTGTCCATGACTAGTTTAAAGTTGAGAGACGCTATACTAGATTTGTATTGTTAATTCTGGTACTTGTGTCTTTGTATGATCAATAGCATGCAGTTAGCAATACAAGACATGAAGCCTTATACTTTAACATATTGTTTAAGGTTCTAAACATATCGAATGTATATAAGTGACAAAACTAGATTTTTAAAGAAGTGTGCACTATAATACAGAAGCTCAATACTGCATCAAGAAACTTCTTTAGAACTAGAGAACATTCATATATTTGGGGAGAAAGTTTAAGGGGTTAAGAAGTTGTATTTTTCTATTTAAAAAATGTTAAATTATTCTATAATTTGGAAGAAGTTTCTTTGAATGTAGGGCATAACTATTTGAAGAATTTGTGTTTGAGAAGTTGATGTATTTTTGTGCCTTAATATTTGTTCTTTTAATAAATTGCTTTCTGAAATTTTGAGAATTGATTCTTATTATATGTTAGTACTAGATTATGTAATAAATCTATAGGAAATGCACTTTCTAGTAGTTGGCAGGACATACATTCTTAAAAGAGAATGTATAGCTAATTAAACATGGAAAAGTCGTAGTGACAAGGAAATGCAAAATAAAGGGAAAATTTTAAAAATCAGATTAACCTAAGTTTATAATATCATGTATTTGTAAAATCAGAAAAGAAAATCCTTTTAAAATCTGACAATATGACCATAGTGTTTAATGATGGTTATGCAGTTGACTCTTTTTTTGTGTGTGTGTGAAAAATGTGTTTATAATCTCCAATGTCAATTCTGGTGATGCTTTTTAAAAATTATTCAAATATAGAATAAGGTTTCTGCATGAAAATGTATATTATAGTATTATTCAAAGTAGAGATAAAATTAGAGACTAACTAAATGTCAGTAATAGAACAGTTAAGCAAATTATGATTTAACCATCTACTTTATGGGGTTAGGGTAGCCACTAAATTATCAAGAATAATAAAATACATATTAGGAAATGGGATGCAGAACTGGCCCCATCTCATAGTGGTGATTCAGCCCTGTGCATTGGGAGCCAGATCCCACGTGGCCAACTTTAGTTCAGATCTCAGTCCAGTAGCTAACACCAGTTGTGTAAATGACCAAAATCTTGATGGGAAGGAAGAGTGGAGAAAAAAGAGTTGGGCATGACTGTGCTCCACTTGGGGGTTCTCTCTTTCTCTGTGGCCAGTACACAGGTCCTCTGGCAATTAAAAACAAAGCAAACAAACAAAAAACAGTGCAAAGGAACGAAGGTGAACTCTCACCCAGGCAGGAACAAAATAGAGAAAGAATTGAGTGGAAACACACCAGATTGCACTATGGTTAATGTTGTTCAGCTAGGCTGTGGTCATAACTTGATTCCAGCCTTTCAGAAGGTTAAGACAAAAGGTTTATTTATTGCTTATGTAACAGTTATGGAAGAGTCTGGAGAGATGGGGAGAGCAACTGTCCTCCACATGGTCCTTTGGAGGTCCAAGGTTTATTCCCATATTGTGGGCCTTCTTGCCCTAGGGCCTGTTGCCTGTACCAGCCACCAGAAAGGGAAAGGACAGCCTGAGTGGTTTGTGTGTGTGTGGGGGGGTTACACCTGAAAGTGATGAATGTCACTTCCGAGGATATTCCATTGATAAAAGCTTCATCACATGGCTGTACCAACTGCCAGTAGGCTGGGAAATGTCACTAGCCATGTGCCTGCTGCATTCTAGTCCTGTGAAAGGACAGGGTGGATTTAAGTGGACAACAAATGCCTCTGCCAGATTGTTTTGAAGCAATGGACTATGGGAGCCTCAAAAACCTCTCCTTTCTATATTCTTGTAATTTTCTAAGGTGAACATTAAAAAATACGTATGGAGCCAGCCAGTGGCATGGTGGTTTGGGTGGCTGGATTCCCACATGACTGATTATGGATCGAGTCTCAGACCCAGCAGCTTGAAAAATATATTGGACGCATGTGCATGTTTGCCCCAAATCCCAAGAGGAGATGAAGAGAAGGGATTGTGGCATGGCCATCCCACCTAGGAGATGTTTTCTCACTTTCTCACTGTTTCTTTCTCACTCTCTTCAGTGAGCACACATCCCTGTAGCACATTTTATTTCGTTCAGATAGATTTTTGCTATAGGATGTGTACGTTTGCCAGAGAGACAGAGACAGCAAGAATCATCACCCCCCCCAACTCCAGGGGGATAGCCACGCTGTAATCCCTTCTCCATTCTCCTCTTGGGGTTTTGGGCACACATGTACACGTGCCCAGTGGGAGTGTACAAGCTTCAGTTGCCATGGAAGCTGCAGTCGACTACATGGAAGTTGAGCGACTTAACCATTAGGCCATTTGCTGGTTCTTCCGTAGCATCTTTTTTATTTTTTTTTAAAGGCAAAGTAAGTATGCAAAAAATATTTTTTTAATACTTTAAATAGGCTAGAAAATTGTGGGTTTAGGTTATAGCTTAATCCACTAATAAACAAAAATTTGTCTTCCTGTAAATGGGAGGAACACAAAAAATTTTCTTCATGGATATTTTCCCATCCTTACGTCTGGGGTGGGAGATAAGATGGGTAGTCCAGAGGAAATATGGGGACCGTTGAAATACCAGTGATGATATTCAAGAAGTACTGAGAGAATTTGCAGAGTGCCAGCTGTGGTAGTCTCCTGGTAGCTAATGAGGTTGATATTATTATTTACCTTGGTTTAAAGACAAAATAAAGATTGAAGAATGTGCTGAAGTTTCCCATCCTGATCGGTGGTAAGGCTATTAATACTGGTAAGAACTTATCCTCAGAGGGTTGCCCTTGATGTATTAGGGAGAAGGGAAATTTAATTTACCAAATTCATGTTTGTTTGTTTGTTAGTTTGAGGGTT